CAGGAAAGAGTTGGGCGTTTTGTTGTTCTTATTGTTATTTAAGTTCTTGAAGCTTGAGGAACTAAAAAAAAATAACACAAACACACAAAGGAAATATTTTATCAACCACCTATGAAAAGTAAGAAAGCAAACAAATACACAGAAAGCTTCAGTTTGTAAAACTTTTCAACTATTTAATATAGTGTTGATCAAAGACTGTAAAGAGTTGTTAAAAAGACCTGGTTACTGGGCTGCTGGGGTCAGCGTTTTAGGCTGTTTTTGAATCCTGAATATAGGTTAACATCTCATTGAATAAAGGGCTCAAATGATGATTTTGTGAAAATCATCATATTATAATGTAAAAGATTTTTATATCTGTGTAAATTTAAGGGAAAATTTCAAAAAAGGGATATATTGCTACTAAAAAAATGATACATGTATTTTTATAATAAATTATGTTTAAGCCTATCAAACTCTTATTAGGCTTTAACAATAATGAACTTTGGCTTAGTATAGCTTTGTCACTGATTATGTCAATTTAGACATTCTCTCTTAGATTCGAGTACCTAATCCCGCCTCTGAAAAACAAAATCAATAATAATGCAAAGTAACTTTTCATTTGCAGTTACTAATATTCAAAGGAAAATATTTAAGTGCTTTTATAAATCTTACAGACTGTTTCAGTTTTTATTTGTAACAGAAGATAAATTGTTCAGCAGATCTACCTGTGCAAATGATAAACTATCACTCAGTCTAATTTGCACTGGAAATAATTATACAGTCAGCTTGGTATTAATTCATTTTAATCAGTTCTTGAACCTGGAAGTTGAAACATCTTCCCGTTGGGATTTCTATAGTAGTTGTTACTGTGTAGCTGTTACAGACAATTTGCAAACTATGTAGGCAAAAGGACCAATTGCCAAGTTAGCTCAGGAGACAGGAATGAAGAACAAATCAATAAAACTGAAAATGATAATTGGCTGAGACCCACCCAGAGACAGCAAAAAAAGAAAAAGAAAAAAAGTGTTACTGATGAGAAGAATGATTTGAGGGATCTCTATTCTTGTACATCTCTCCTGTGGCTGTAACAAAAATTTCTAGTGGTGAAATGTCTACTCAGTTCACAAATGTAGACTCATTTCAGTTCAACCTAGAGCTGTATTTTAATAGGTTCTGATGAAACCAAGATGGAAGTCGTGTGTATCTGCCCTTGAGGGAAGGAAACATTCAAACAAGAGAATGCACTCCAACACTGAGGGCCTTAAATCATTTCATACTGAACTCCTCCTGGTTTCTATAGGGATTCTGTCAAAGACTTGACATGCATTTCATTTTTATTACACTTATATGACTATAGGAAGCACATAAATGCTGAATGCAGGGTATGCAGTGAATTTCCACCTTACTGCCAAAAACATTTTCGAGAGTTAAGTCTAATCCAAATGATGCTTTAATTCCAAATATAATAAATTAGATTTTGATACCTAAATTTCATGGTGATTGCAAAAAAAAACACCAAAACTATTGCAACATATGAAATTTAAACTTTCAAAAGCCTTAATTTTAGTCAGCAATTTGGAAGTTTCCTGGTTTTGCTTTAGCATAATATTATTCTTTCTACTCATAATTGCCTAATGTACCCAGTCTACTGAGTGTCTATTAAAGTAAATATCATGCTAACTAGATAGATCATGTTATATAATAAAAAGAGAAATACTTCTAGTAGCATAGGGTGAATAAAACAGCTAGACCTTCCGGTAAAACCTTATTAATTTGATACAGACCCAGATTAAGATTGTCTTAATTTAAAAAGACTGAATCTTATTTTTTAAAAAAAACCCTAATTTTCTTTGCTTTTCAAAACTATTCAAAACCAGTAAAATAAACATGGCTAACAGAGTTTTGCCAATTAGTGATTACTTTTTAACTATAATGAATAATTATAAATGATTTGTAATTAAAATATTTTTGCAAAGAGATATTTCTGCAAGCCTCATGTTCATGTTTAGCTTATGTATAGCACATTATATGCACTAGGTATTTGTATACATGCTATTGATTTTTCTTTCATTCTTTTTATTAATATATATATCTATCTATATACCTAATACACCTAATATAGATATGCATATCAATATCTATCTCTATCGATCTATTTTCTATCTGTCAAGCCACTTGAAAAAGTCCTTTATCCATAGTGGCCAAAATAAATTTGATAAACAAATCCTTTATAGATAAATATTATGAATGTGAACTAGAGGTAACCGCTAAAATTATCACAATTCGCCATTTTGAAATGATGTTTACTAAGGTGAAAATAAAATTATGCAGAGTTTAAACAATTGGAACATGTGAGTTAAGCTGAAGAAAAAATGGAAATATCAACAATTCAGACACAAGTGCTTTTTAGAATTTTTAAATAGTAACCACAAAACTACCCTTTCTGTTGATTTTTAATTTATACTTCACTGAGAGCCTGATTTTATTCTAGCCTTTTTTTATTAATTGCTGACCTTTCTCTGTCATTTAATGTTAACTCCCGTGCCATAAATGAATCAGCAATGCAACATGGCCTGAAATAGATTAGTACATTGAGTGTGACCATGAGAAAGAGATCCAATTCTCACCTTCACAGATACTAAAGATGTCTTATTTATGAACTTCCTTTGTTCTTTTTCATTTTTTCTAGTACATTCATTTACTAAAACCACTATTAACAATCAAATCAGTGATGATTTTAACATTTTATTATCACTAAAAACTTTATTTCAATGTATAAGTAAAAGGCAACAAAATAGTCTTCTTGGTTGTGAAAAGCCTTTGGTCAAATCGTTTTTATGCCTCAGATCTTAGAACACGCTAACTTTTGAGATCGTCTCTAAGGCCCTCTATAGGAGGTGATATCTTATGGAGAAGGAACAAATAGCTAAACTGTCTTTAGTTTTCTATGTTATGTTAAACGTATGTATATTGTATTGAGCAATGACGAACAAATAAAATAGACATATGTAATTATATATTTTTGGTATATTCAACCTATGCTATAATTATCACAAATATTCCATGTATTAATATAGTGACATAATATGAAATAGTTTAAGACCTTATTGAGATTTGAAGATAAATCAATAGAAGACTATGAATCATTTTATTTGATGATACAAATAGTCAGCATTATTGTAAAATCTAGAGATATTTGCTTGTCTTTCTACATATTTCTACCTCACATAGCAAAGACAATATCAATGTCCTTATTTAGCTTATATTACCTGTAGTATGCTATAGGTAGTATATGTGTGACTCTTAGACTAGTATTTACAAAAACAATAATCTACTGCCAAAATGTGCGAAGGACTCCTCTATGCTCAGGACCCAAAATGAGAAAACCCAGATCTTATCATCACATAGCCAAGCCTCTTTGGTTGTCTTTATTTGGAGTGATGGGACCAATCATTTGATTTAATTGATACATGCCATTTACCTGTACAATCCACTTCAAGACTGTGATTACGTTACTTAATATAACAGTATATCAAAGTTGAAAAATTAGTTCTTGTTTTCTTTGTTGTTTTTATTTTATATTTTGGTTCGTGGGCCATGCAGTAGCATTCAAAGTTCCTCAACATATGATAGTGATTGCTTCATAATTTCTTTCTCAAACTTAGCTGCATAGTGGAATCACCTGGAAAACTTTAAAAACTGCCAATATTGAGTTTTACCCTCAGAAATTATGATGCATTTTGGATAGCAACCTAGGCATTGGGTCTCATAATATCTTCCCCAGGTGATTATAATGGGCAGCAGACTTGGCATCCCGGAGTGTATATAACTATAATATTCTTATGACAAGTCATTGCTTGATTGCCTCTCAACTTTTTCAATCATTCCATTTACTGAGAAGATGGTCTGCCTTTCCCTCTCTCCTCTCTTACTACAGAACTTTGTCAAAACTTGAATGTGCCTTATCAAAAACATCAATTGCTCTGACACATTTATTCTGTAATTTTTGTAAATATGTATTTTTATATATGTTAGAGACAAGAACAATGATTTTAGCAATGTTTATTTTTGTTAAATGAAACTGATGGAATTGAAGGTCAAATGGCCTTCTAATTGCACAGATTAAATGAGAAGGTATTTAATATTTTAGCTTTACAAAGCATCTTATTGATTTGAAAAGATCCATACTATTGATAAAGTTCATGATGAAACATATATGTAAGAAGACTAAAATATTTATTTTACATATCTACAACATGTATTCTCAAATTTCTAGGTCAACCACAAATCATACAGGAAAATATTTAGGTACAGGAAAAAGCTTCATAACATAAAAAAAATTACATTTTGAAAAAAAATCACATGTGAAAGCTCATTAAATAATAACAATGACAAATAAATAATTAACTTTACTTATTAGCTGCTGCCATGCATTTCTGGCATTCCATTCCAAGCGAGGGTCAGCATGCAGGGTATAATTTCAGACTATGAGACTGTAAAAAGCTACAGGGCTTATTTTTGAAGTGAAATGTCACAAGGTCTTTCACTCTTTCAAAGGAAGATCACTCAGGGCTGCTAAACTGTTCCATGAAGATTACCAAAAAAAAAAAACAAAAAAACAAAAAAACAAAAAAACCACCACCCTTCTGAAGTGTTACTGTCAAGATTCAAGGGAACAATTTTTTTTTAACTTTTCGGTTTTGGAGGAGTTTTATGTGAGAAGGGGGGTTGGGTTGGGGAGTGAAGGGTAACTGAGAAGCCCTTTTCTGTTTCAAAAAGTTAATTACTCAATAGATTGTATGTATATAGTATCCCCAGTCTTTCAGGAACCACAAGGAATTAAAACTACAGGATGCGTGGAATTTAAATACAAATTGCACTCATGGATATGTGTACATCTTTTAAAACCTGTAAAGGAAAAGCTATTCCCAAACACGGTCCTGATACTTAGAACAGATTGCTGAGTTTGATCAAAGCCGAAAGCATATATTTTCAAATAAGAAAATAGCAATGGCAGGCTTGAGTCTTCCAAGCAATCAAATCTGTAAAGCAGATGGTTACCACTCAGTCCAGTTTTGAGAGCCTGAGTTCTAACTCATGCTGTGCTTGCTGGGTTTGCTGGCTCTTTTCCGCTCTCTGTGATGCTGGGCTGGCTCGGCGGGCGACATGCTCTCGAAGTTATGACTGGATTCATTGTGCTGCCGAGTGTACCTCTTGCACTTGCAGGCGGTGACCACGGTGATTTTGTAGGTGCGTGTGCTGCCATCTTGGCACTGCAGCTGGATTCTCTGGGTACGTGTCTTGTCATTGACACACCTCCACTCCTGGGAGCTCCTCCTGCTCCAGTACTTTGTGCCATAGCCTCCTCCGATCCAGTTGGGGAGCAGCGGCAGGGGCAAGCACTCCCCAGCGCACACCAGCTCTTTCAGAGGGCTGATGCTGGTGCACTGGCCGTCAGAGATGTATTTGGTGGAACGCAGTTCCCGGCAACCCACTTGAACCCGAGCTGCAGGAAACAGAAAAGAAGGACTATCAGAGGCATAAGCAAATGGACATTTTTTACAAGTAATCTGCAATGACAAAAATTTGCAAATGATAGCAAATTGCCAAATACAAAAGGAATGCCTATTTTATCTCCACAATGCCAAAATCTGGTTGTAGAGATAATTTGATGAAAATTATCAATTTACATGGCTATAATTTTTTGGAATAAAGTAAAGTAGGCCTTTTTTTTTCATATATAACATTAGCTAATTGCTTACTGGTGTATTTGAAAATATGGTTTAAGCAACTCCTACACTTACGTGTAAAAAAGAGTATATTTCAATGTTCTTTTTCTCACAGATTGTATTTGTTTATGTCTACGATTGTTTTAATTAGTTATTTTAATCTATTGAAAAATATGGAAAGTAAATATTGTATACAATGCATATTATCTCTGTAATATTTTGTTTCAATTATAAAATTAAGCTGTAAAAGATTGTACATGCATATGTGTACAAAGTCTGACATTTTGCATATCAAACTAATAACTACATTTTAAACATAAATTCCCAAGCTATCTTCTAAAAGCACAAATATTAAAATGTTTTAACGCAAAACGTCACTACAACTGAAAATTTAAAGGATATAAAAGCCCCTAAATCAGGAACGTATGGTTGCCATAACAACTTGGCTACATTTCCATGAATTTTATGGCAGAAAAATGCCTAACATGTCTGATTTACAACTGCAAAAGGAACCACGGTGTTCATTTCCTGAATATTGGTCATGGCAAACTTTTTATTTATTTATTTTGAATTTAATAAGTATGTTTTCTAATTGGCTGTTTCTTGTTACCTTTATGTAATTAGAGCAAAAATTAATCTTGAAATATTTGTTTTCCTTTCCATTGCTTTGTTATCTAGACTTGAGGAAAATTGTAATAAGCTTGAAAAGAAAGCAAGGCTTGTTGACTGGGAAAAAATGTTTAAAAGTATAACTGCTGAAATTTAAAACATTAAAAATTACCAAGGACATTGAAGTGGCCTTGCATAAAATAGTGAAAGCTAATTTGAAGTGGAATAGTGAATGAGGAGTTTTATTTCATCTCTGGGCCCCAGCACTGAGGTGAGAGATATAGCCTAAAGGGATGGGGTAGTTGTGACAAATGTAGCTATATATACATATACTTGTATAGCCTTAGAGTGGGAGATTAAAATTAAAGGGTAAACTGGCTGGCTGGTCAGTGTGCACTCCTGTCTGACTCTCATTCCAGGTCACCTTCCTGCAGCTCCCTTAGGAATGCATCTGGAAGCAGCCGGGGATGATTTTGACTTGTCTAGCTTTTTGTTCCTGTATATATAGAGGTTCAGCATTTCTTTCATTGACAGTTCATTGACAATGAATACCCACCACATTGTTCAGTAATCTAATAATAATCAGATATTTCCTGTGTATGCAAAAACAACCATCTTCATGAAAGTTAAAGCACCTTTTTTAGACATTTGCAGTCATATGTGCTTTGACTTTCCAAAGGTCAAAACTACTTTTCACAGTTGAATGGAGTTGAGGAGGAGGAGCAAAAGATTCGTAAGGTTTCCTGGGCACTGTTTTCTCTCGATCCCTCTTAAAACCTGATTATTAGCATGTGAACTCTTCTAAATGAAGCAAAAGTTAGGAAAAGAAATTTAAATCATCCCAACTAGTGGTCAATTAGTGTCAATTAAGTACGCAGAAAAGGAAAATTTGCTCCCTGTATAATGTATTTTTGCATTGTTATTATTCTAAATCTTAGTCTTCCCCAGTCTCTCAGAGAAATATACAGTTACCTAAATTTTGCCCTGGTTAATAAGACATTATCTCTGAAAAATATGGTTCTCCAACATTCTTAGTTTTACTCCTCTTTTACATTGATTGTCATCAAAACTTTCAACTATTTCTCTAGGCATATTTTTGAAATTCACAGCGAGCAATTTTTTTTCCCAGAAAGTGTCTTTTCTTTCCTTGTGATTTCTTATACATACTTTGATTAGTTACCTTTATGCCAGAATTGGACATGTCCTGAAATAAACAGAAAACAGCCTGAATTTAAACTATCTAGAAAAACACCTTTAAAAAATCTCATTGTGCATGATATGAAGAAGCAACAGTTTAATTCCTGGAAACATTTTCTCTTTGGATGTTTGATAAAACTTAAGTCTGTGCCTGCATTATCAAATTACTGTTTCAGTTATGTTAACTTTATAGGAAAGAATGCCAATCTACACAGGCAGCAGATTACTCCCAGACTATGTAGCAAAGTATATACAGTTCAGGTCAGTTAGCAGCGAAACAGTTCTACGGGAATGTGAGCTAATTGCTACCAAAACAGAAAAGACAAAATCCATATAAGTAAAACACACTTACTGTTCCGATCCAGTCCAGTGTTACTGAAATGCCTGCCTCCATTTCTGGCTTGATTCATCGTGCTGTTGCTGCTGGGGTGTGCTGGAACAGGTTTAACCACATGTGAATAAAGGATTTCTGTGGCATCATTTTTAAAAGCCAAACAGCTTTTCATTAGGATGCATGCAAGGGGAATGAGATAGAAATGAATGGCAGGAGGAAGCATGGTGAGTAGAGGATTTGCTTGGCTGGAGAGCTGGTTAATTCCTTTCCTCTGCTTCTGCTCTGTAACTGTGAAATTCTTCCTCAAGGTTCCCTTTATATATCCTGAGGTTTGGCGTTCATTCAGGTGTAAAGTTGTGTAGAGCTTCAGAGTGAAAACACAGAGAAGGGGTGGGATCCCTACATGACCTGCAAAAGAATTTTACCAATGGAAGAGAAGACTACAGAAAAGGAGGAGCTTGATATACAAATTGCCTGAAATTTCAGAGTTGGACTTCATCAGTTGTCTGTGAGCTGAAGCAGCGCGGCACATTCTATAGCAACTACAGACTCTTTCTCTCTCTGCTGTTTCCCTCCCTGAATCTAGTTCACATTCGGGTTTAATTTCAATGAAAATATGCTGCTGTTCACTTGAAAAGATATACATTTCCAGAGTAGTTCTGCACTCCCCTAAGATTTTAGAGTATTTGGGTGGGAGGGGGGTTGTCCCACATAATAGGAGGAATTAAAATGAGTTTAAATGGTGTAAGACTTGCACGAAGCACCTATTTTAGTTAATCATATTTTGTTTCTCAAGAAGCAAAGCAATGTATATATTTTTTCTTTCTTTAAAGTGTAAGGCATGGAGCTAGAATCTGCCCCCTGGACACATTTAAATAATGCAGCTTTGATCTGCATGGACTGCTGCATGGCTAGGTAAATTATTGCCAGGGGTCTGTGCAGAGAATAATGAGCATAGCTCTGTCTGCATTAAAGTAATTAATATCAATTTTCATCTTAAAAATGTCACAAGCATTAACATTCATAGCATCATTTTACATGAAAGAAAGCCATTTCTGACAGTTTATTGTTTGGTAAATTCAAAATAATTTTTCCTAGCGTTCTACCTGTACTCGCTAAACATTTCTTGGTCTCTGCTACCCATGTAAGAAACGTTCTTTTATGAACTTCTCTATCCACACCTGAAACAGTGCACCAATAATTAACACTAGGCCATTTTCCTCCATCCTTAAGAAAAAAATCATGAAATTCCATCTGATTTATGGGACACTTGAATTGGAATAATTACATACTCTGAATCATCTTTCTGATAATAAATCCATTTTCCCCTTTGCATGGCTACTAACATGACCTTCTAGCAGGGACATATTGTATCTCTATAAGATTTTGACCATTTTAACTGCTATTCATATCTATCTATCTATCATCTGTCTGTCTGTCTATCTATCTATCTACCATATTTTTATTTCTCCACAATGATGCTGTTGAGATTTTAGAGTAGATAATTCTTGTTAGGAAGCACTGTTTTGCAGTGTATTTTGCAGCATACCTGGCTTCTACCCACTAGATGCCAGCAGCACCCCCCAGTTATAACCAAAAATGTCTTAAGACATTGACAGTTGTCCCCATGGGTGAAAATCTCCCCAGTTGAAAACTATTAATTATCTATCCATCTACCTACCTCACTATAAAAAGAAAGTTAAATTAAGAACAAAAGACTATTTAATAATACTAAGGAATTATTGTTCTTTTTATTTAGGAGTAAAATGGTACTGTGGTTTTGTTTAAAAACAAAGACTGCTTCTCATTTAAAGTTATATACTGAAATATTCCTAGATGAGATGATATGATATGATGTCTGGAATAAACTTCAAAAATAACATGGGAATGAATGGTTAGAGGTATGAGTGGAGTAAGATTGATTATAGCCTGGATGATAGATATTCTGTTCACTCTCGGTGATGTTCAAAATTACACATAGTCAAAAATTTAAAAACTAGGATAAAAATTTAATGTATACATATGGCCTAATAACAATCATATCCCTATCTGAAGGTTGTATGTAGTCATTTATTCTAATGTTATCCCTGGGAAACAATGCATCAGTTTATTTAGGACAGCAGGAGGTTATATGTCAGACATCCTTCTAAAGCACTAATTATGAAGAATTGTGTATCCTGCTTATCAGGGAAAATGACATTAATTATATGATATGTTAATATTAACCATTGTCCAGTAGATCCAATGCCTAAAGGAAGTAATAGGGTCAAGATAATCTAATCTCTTTCCCAGAACTGTTTCATTTTTGTGCCAGGAAGGGGAGAGATTTTAACTTGAAGTTTAATTATTAGGTTGGGGTAATCACATTGACCAAAATAAGCCATAATTGCTAAATCCGCCCAACACCTAGTATTCTGCAGGCTCAGCCTCAGGATCTTAGCTTAGGCTGAAGCAAAATTAGGAATGAAGGCCATGTCGTTGGTGCATGTGGACAGGAACAATGCTGAGCTCTTAGGCCAAATATATCTGGCAGGGCCAAATGAGAAAACTACTTCGATAAATCAGAAATAATGATAAGTTTGATATTTAATAGTTATTCTGATCAGGTTAAAACTACTTCATTAAGAACAATCACAAACTGTAATACTTTGATAAGATTACAGATACAGATATCTAATATCATAATCGATTTAGGACATATTCCCCTGAACCAGCTGTGTTCTTTTGTATCTCTAGGCCTCTGCATATACGTGTTTCTCCTTCTGCTTGGAACATTCTTCTCTCACCTTTTTCTCATTCCCTTCTTCATGGGCTACCTCCATTTCTCCTTTAACTCTCATTTTTGTGATGACACTAGGACTAAGAAAACTTCCCTTGCTCTCCACCCCCGCAGGTCAGCAGCCCATCCATATGTACCAGAGTGACGAGTTGCCTGATGGCGTTGAAAGCCTTATGATAGAACTATTTTTAGTCAGAGAAAGACAAGTACCATATGATTTCACTCCTATGTGGAATCCAATGAACAAACTGAACTAACAAGCAAAACAGAGGCAGAGTCACAGACAGAGCAGGCTGATAGCCCTGGGGTGAGGGGGTTGGGGGTGGGATTGAGCAAAAAAGAAAAAAGAGAACTTTTTATTGTATGAATATTATTGAATAAGTGAGTAAGTTAATTTAAGAAATATAGAAAGAATCAGAATACAGGTGGTAAATACAAACAAAATGTATTTATAGAATGCAACCATAAGCTGGCTCTCTATGGATTTAAACTATTTTCAGAAAGATCCAGTTAACAAGATAAAAATTGTAACGAGAAACGTAATTAACATTATTATTTTAGATGAAAAGATACTGTACAGCCCTGGCTGGTATGGCTCAGCAGATTGAGAGCCAGCCTGCAAACCCAAGGGTCCCCATTTAGATTCCCAGTCAGGGCACGTGCCCGGGTTGCGGGCCAGGTCCCCGGCAGGGGGCGCGCAAGAGGCAACCACACATTGATGTTTCTCTCCCTCTCTTTCTCCCTCCCTTCGCCTCTCTCTAAAAAACAGTCTTTAAAAAAGAAAAAGTACTATATAGTATCTTCATGCATAACACTACAGAATCTTCGTGCACCAAAATCCTTAAAAAGGGGACGAACTAACATCTTTAATTTATTCTATTTCTTTTCTTTCATCTACTTTATATCAATATATGTTGAGCCCAGTATGTGTCAAAGCTGTAGTCCAGAAACCGAAAAGTTGAATGAGACATGGGGCCTGCATTCTTAACTTTTCCAAATGTTCCTGTTTAGAATTCCACTCAAGGAGCTCCTTTAACCTGACCTTCCTTCATGATTTCCTTTCTCCCTCGAGACATTGATCAGTTGTCCTTTTATTTTTTGTTTAAATGTCTTTTTAATTTTATTTGTATAATAAATGTTCTTTTTATTGTAAGCTGCCTCAACATAGGTAACATTAATTTAAATAATGCTACTTATAATGCCCTGGGTAACCTGATACAACACCCAAGTGGAAAATCCATTCGATATCGTTCTAGACAGAGCGCCTCCTTCTCAGCACTAGCGGCCTGCTGGGCTGGATGGTTCTTTGTTGTGGGAGCCATCCTGTCTGTTGCAGAACCTTCAGCAGCATCCCTGGGCGCTCCCCACTAGATGTGGCCCCTGGGGTGCAAAGTCATCCTGGGTTATAAGTTACTAGTTTAGGCAAATTCTCCAGTAAACCTCCTAAAAATGCCAGCAAACTGCTATTAAGGAAAACCTGGCCTCCAACCCCTAGGGAGCAGGTTAGGACCACAGGGACAAGGCTGTCATCCGATTGCACAAGCTAGGGAGAAGAGGAGGTTGTCTTTTTCACCGGCATTGGCTACCTTGTGTGATAGGAATTGATGTCCTTACTCTGTGTATTCAGCCCACACAAGTTCCTAAACTAAATTTGACCGAGGCTGGCAGCACATTGAATATCCTGTCTCAATGGTGGGTGGGAGCTGGAATTAGTTTTGTTCCGCAAATCTGATAGTTGTCCTAAACCATGTCTTACTTGAGAAGCTTGTTATATCTGTACATTCTGGGCTTGGTAATCAGACCTGACATCAGACCTGAGTCAGGAACCCAGGAACCTGGGTTTTACCAAGCTCTCCACATCACTCTTATGCTTGCTGATGTTTGAGATGCACTGTTCTAGAATACACATGTGCCCTCCTGTGGCCTGTCCCACAGTCCCCATTACATTTGCCTCATTTATCTAACTGGGCCTCTGCTCCACATTCTTCCAGTTTGCATAATCGGCTGAAAGCCCTGCCTTAAGCTCAGCCTAATTGGCCAAAACCCAAACCAATTTCCTTTTTCCTCTATGTATTTCTCCCCAGGGACTGTATACTCTCGGTGCCCCCCTGTGACTGATTAATGCTTTGACCCACAGAAATGACCATAACAATACCTACAGTGGCATCATCACTCACTGGAAATTTAGGCAGCCATATCTGGTTTTCTCAGATATCAGTGTTGATCCAGATTTAGACAAAATGCTTTGGTTGTTGTGGTTTTGATTGTTGTCCACCAGCCTCAGGAGCATCCCACAGCTAAGTCAGGCTCCTAGCCCTGGAGGCACCCGGTCTTGCTTCATGATTTTCTGAAGAGCCTCTTACTCAAGTACAGCCAGTTTCGTCACCAAGACTAAATTTCTTATGAACTTATATCACCAACCGAGTCTTAACAGTTCACAGTTCCCTGGTATGTCAGAAAATTGGAGAACAAAAAGACTTTAGCTGAGGATTTGGCCCAACTATGCCACAGTTTTTTATGGGAAATAAAGTCATTGC